GTTAAATGATCTTAATTCATATATGGATTTATGTAGCGGACTAGCTTGAATAAATTTGCTACATTGGTGGCCGAGCTACTTTGGGTGAAAAGACGTGAACAAGAAATACTCATTTATAAGCAGGCTGTCATCAAAATCAATGTTCTCTGAAAAAGAATATTAAACGTACAACGGCAATACTTAAAAATCTTAAAAGGTACCAGTCGATTGCGAAAAATGTTAAAATGATCAGGAGAGTACGACGCGCCTGCTAGGGGCCCACCGCTCCAATGCTACTACATGCTAATGTGCGCGTAAGATCTCATGCTCGACTTTTTATATTAAATAACTTTTTTCTAATATTAATAATAAAAAAGTTTTTCATATTCCGCCAACTTATGTAGACAGTTGGTGACTTAAGTAAGTGTTGGTACCAAGGCATAGACTTTATGTGCTATCTTCATAGAATAAAATAAAGAAAGATCACTAAGTATAGTTACTTGATTTTAGTCATAAAATTACCCTAAACTAAAATTAAATAAATAAAATCCCATTTACTGTGAAATATAAGTACTAACTAAAATCTTTAAAAATGTATTATATTGTTTAAGCCATAAAAAGGTAACTTTAAAATATACAAGCTCTGCCATTCTCGGGCTAATAAATTAGTCTTTTCAAGGCCCTTAATCCAATTGAGTTAGGGCTTCCAAACAGTCCCACACAAGCTTTCCTGCTACAAGGTTAATTTTTGTGAGTATAGAAGGATCTTCACTTATCATATTACTTTACTTCAACTTACCTTTGTATCGTCAACTTTTTTTATACTTTTTTAGATATTGTAACAAAATAAATAAATAATTAAATAGGGAAACATACGCTCTTATTTTGTGTGACATATGGCTTTGTTTTATTTATTTTAATTTACATCTTGGTCACATTTGAGTTGGAATTATAGTAAATACACAAGCGGGCTTCTAGGCCACTAGTACCGTTAGATGGCGCCACCTGTCAATATGGGAAATTGAAACTTGGATAAGTGGTTTGTGACTCAGCTGGGCGATCCAATATGGCTGCCATCGTTGACATTAAAGAGTATGGGTTAGGGTTAAAGATAAAAATAACGTGCAGTAGCGTCAAAAAGACCTGAGTCTATACAGGGTGTATCAACGATGCGTGGGTGAACGATAGCTGCTTCCCTATATGAGATAGGAAAAAATGCTTCAAATAAAAGTTGTAGAGGGCATTGAAAGCTACGTTCCAAAAATAACTACCAATATACAAGGTGTCCGATAAATGTATGAGTTATCGAAGTAATGTTTTTTTAAAGGAAACACCCTATATATTTTTACTCGATTAAATTTCTTTGGAAGAGTGTTTCTCAAAAATATAGGGTTGTATGGGTTTATACTGGGTGGTTAGGAATTTATGGTGGGATTTAGGTAACAAAATGGGTTTATTCAACATCAAATATCTCTAAATCAATAATTTGGAATACATTTTTTTTTTCTGCCGAATATTCTCGAAAATAGTGTACTTTCATTTCCTATTCATAATTTTACCTAATGGCGCTTTTCCCATACAGGGGCAACCAAAACTCGGGACCACTTTTTTCTCAGTTTTTTCAAATGGAACACCCTGTAAATGAGGCCACACCAGGATAGCCCATACCATGAGCTTTCAGAAAATGTAGAGTTTGCCTACTTGATTTTTATCAGAAATGTATCTAATTCTTAAGGAAAGTATAAAAAAGTTATAAAAGCAATAACTATTTATTTATTATAAAAGAACAATTATTTAAAAAAGCGTATATTCACAGCAAATGTTTAAACAATCTCACATTTTAAGCTATGCCCGAATTAATCATATCTACAATTGCTCTTCGAACTTTCATTAAAGTTGATCTTGTAATGCAGCGAAAAATCAAATCACTCTTGAAACATTTGAACGTTATAGGAATTTGACATTTAATTATCGAGGAGGAGAATAATTTATAGTTGAAATTTAATAATTTTCCGCTTCAAAATGAAATTATCCACCGAAGAAATGATAAATATGATCTACATTTTGGATGAGTGTGATAGAAATTGTTTATTAGCCAGTAGAATGTATGCAGTTCGATACCCTGATTCAAGGTCTATACGACCAGAGACTTTTCGGAGGGTTAAAGAAAGATTTGACGAAACAGGCAGTGTCAAGCACGAGAAAAGGCAAGTAGTAAACAAAATTGCAACAAATGAAGAAAATGAATTAGCGGTGATCCTTTCAACAGTAGATAATCCTCATGTTAGTACGAGGGAAATTGCAAGAGAGCTGGATATAAGGCACACTTTCATGAACAGAATATTGATAAAAAATAAACTTCATCCATATCGAATTGAATTACATCAAGAACTTTATGAAAGGGATCATGACACCAGAGTTCGCTATTGCGAAAATATATTGAATTTCATTCGCGAGGAACCAAATTTTCTAAAATACATTTTGTTTAGTGACGAGTCAACATTTAAAAGTAATGGAATAGTAAATAGACACAATTGCCACTACTACTCAACAGAGAATCCACATTAGGTCAGAGAAATTGATTACCAAAATAGATGGTCGATAAATGTTTGGGGGGCATAATTGGGGATCAGGTCATAGGACCACATTTCTTTGATGGTCCACTGAATGGGGAAATTTACAGAGATTTTCTCCGAGATCATTTACCAATTTTGTTGGAGGATGTACCTATTGGCACCAGACTCAGGTTATATTACCAACATGATGGCGCGCCTCCCCACAATCAAAATCAGGTAAGATGGTTTTTAAACAGATGGCGCAGTAATAAATGGATAGGAAGAAACGGACCCATTCAGTGGCCAGCAAGGTCTCCAGACCTCACGCCTCTAGATTTCTATCTCTGGGGATATGTTAAAGGAGAGTTCTACCGCGAAAAACCAACGACACCAGAAGACATGAAGAATAGAATTAGAGAAGTTTTTCACTCTATTACAAAATCAACTTTAATTGAAGTTAGAAGAGCAAATGTAGATAGACTTAATTTGTGCATAGCTCAAAATGGGAGATTATTCGAACATTTGATGTGAATTTATGCTTTTTCGAATGAAATAAATAAATAGTTATTGCTTTTATAACTTTTTTATACTTTCCTTAAGAATTAGATACATTTCCGATAAAAATCAAGTAGGCAAACCCTACATTTTCTGAAAGCTCATGGTATGGGCTATCCTGGTATGGCCTCATTTACAGGGTGTTCCATTTGAAAAAACTGAGATAAAAATGGTCCCGAGTTTTGGTTGCCCCTGTATGGGAAAAGCGCCATTCGGTAAAATTATGAATAGGAAATGAAAATACACTATTTTCGAGAATATTCGGCAGAAAAAAAAAATGTATTCCAAATTATTGATTTAGAGATATTTGATGTTGAATAAACCCATTTTGTTACCTAAATCCCTCCATAAATTCCTAACCACCCAGTATAAACCCATACAACCCATTATTTTTGAGAAACACTCTTCCAAAGAAATTTAATCGAGTAAAAATATATAGGGTGTTTCCTTTAAAAAAACATTACTTCGATAACTCATACATTTATCGGACACCCTGTATATTGGTAGTTACTTTTGGAACGTAGCTTTCAATGCCCTCTACAACTTTTATTTGAAGCATGTTTTGCTATCTCATATAGGGAAGCAGCTATCGTTCACCCACGCATCGTTGATACACCCTGTATCTTTGTTGCTATTGGACCAATTTAAACGGGAAAAACGGCGTTGTGAAAGAGACGTTTTATATGTTAACGCTAAATTATGCGCAGTAGCAATGTCAAAAGGATTTAAGTCTATATCTGCATTGCTTTTGGTCCGATTCAAACGAGAAAAACGGCGTTGTGAAAGAGACGTAAAATAGATTAACGTTTCATTTTTCAACACTGACAGATAATGCCATCTAGTGATGACTTTTATTACCAGTGACCTAGAAGCCCCAATGTGTTTCTACTATTTTTCTTCCTTTTTCAATAATTTATATATGCTTCTTGTTTCTATTTATCAATAATTATGTTTCTTCTAGACCTAATGTTGACCACGATTGACCGAAACTAGTTGTCTCGTTTTTGTTAATTTAAATCTAAAAAATATTTTAAGTTTCCGATTTCCTCTGTACGCATTATATCCACCACACTAATATGGACAACGATCTTTTTTTTACATCAGTTGTTGAGAATGTTATTTTCCGATAAAAAGAAATGTACAGAAACGCTACTGAGAGAATTTAATTTGTTCCACTTAATAAACAAAAACACCAGGCTTCACGTACACATACTTTTCACCTTGCGAAACATAAATGCAAGTAAAAAAAATGTAATACCGAGTCACTAAACACCTGTAATTTATTTGTAATTCCGAGTAAAACATGTATAAATCAAGAACGGAATTATTAAAAAACAAACTGATTGTGTACTAAGGGCAGTGATAAAGCTGTCAGAACCGTTAAAAGAAGCACATTAACATTTTTACATAAATCAATAGCTTAGTAACTCATCTCTGTAATTTTTTATGTAAATTTTATTAATACAAATGACACTAAAGGAAATCTTGAGAGGATCAGTTTGATTAATTTTATAATTTTAACTTAAACTAAGATAAATATAGTAGTTTGAGTAAATAATTTCTTTTTATCATGCAAAAAATGCTTATAGTTATTTATAAAGGAAGGAAGTATTTTATTTATAATTTGTTAAATAGTTATAGTTATAACGGTTATTTAATATATCTATCGAGATAAGTACAAGGAGTATAAGTCAAATATAATGATTTTCCATAAAACGCCTCCAAAATTATAGGAGATAGCTACTTTAAGCTGAAGTTCGAAAACAAAATTTTATTCTAGCTCTTCATCTTCTTCTTCCACTAAGTCGGGCAATGTGCTTTTGGCATCGTTAGTAGTTTTCAGATTTTTATAAAAATCGTGAAAGTCAACTTAGTAAATCCAGAAGAGCCAAGATATCTTTCTTTTTTTCATTATAAATTACTACTGTAGCAAGGTAGCGGATTTAAGGGTGTATCTTGTGATGTCCTTCCTTCTAAATTCATACATCGAAATTCTTCCCTTTCGTCTAGTGAAAACTTGAAAAAAATATTTTTTGGAAATCCTTGACGGTACCTTAGCCACCGCAGCTTTCTCCACTTGAAGGAGTTACCATTGCTATCTTTTTGTTTTAGTTTAAGATGGCTTTTACATAGGTTGGAATAGTTTACGAAATCTTTGTGGTTTAATTTCACCACTTGAAACTTTTTCTTTTTTCCAGTAGCTCCTAAAGTTTTCTGAAAGCAACCTCGGCAAACCTTAGACAGTTTCTCATTAATTTTAAAATAAAATGTGTTGGTGTACTGTCTAAATTTTACTTTGTCAGGATCATCGGTTCGTTTCCGAATAACTTTAGTCTCAGTTGATTGAACTAAATTATCAACGAATTTCGTTCTTTCATCTCGACTTCCGAGGCTCCAATATTCTTTAAAAATAACTTCCTGGATCTCAGGGGGGATACGTTCCATGCACTTGGCGCGGCAAACTGTCAAAGCTGTCATTGCCCTTGCCGATTTTACTTTTCCGTCAAGAGTTTCATAGCTCTTCCCAGCATTTCGATTTTTATATCTTTCTATTCTTCTTTTTTTGGAAAAGTTTCTGTCAGTAGGTGTAGCTTGGATTACATTTTGTTCTAAATGTGGTTCCTTCGATCTATTTCGTATTTTAGAGCTAGAACTCTGTATTTGATGGAAAACTTCTTCATCAGAGAAAATACTCTCCTGTTCAGGGTTATAATCTGAAAAAAATAGACAGTTAGGACACTTGTTACATTTTATGAGCCTCAATTATCTATAAAAATAAATGCTTACCTTCGTCAGTTTCTTGACCAAAACTTTCAGCTATTTTCATGTCTTGTACTAGTTGAGTGTGTTGGTCTTCATCATAGACAGTACTCTGTTGATGGTCCAAATCTATAAAATATACAGTTTCACGTTTTAAGCTACATATTATTTTCGACTTCTTTGGCCAGAAAATCAAGTCTTACCAAGGTAAACTTTTTGCTGTCCCGAAATGTTACTTGAACCAGCCTCATCATCATTGCAAAAAATTAATTGATTAATATCCCCAGTCGTTGACAGGTAAAGATTCCCCAAGAAGTCTTTTTCATTTTGGACCATGGATTGTTCTTGAAAAAAACAAAATATTTTGAACTCAGACTAATTTTCATTTCACTTTTGTTTTCGCAAGAAAAATAAAAAATACTTTTGAAACGTATTGATCCCTTATTTACTAACTCCCCTGCATGATCATCGACAATAACATTCTCAGTGAACCCATGAGTAATACTGACATTATGCTCTACACAATTTACATAGGCTTCTGTTTGCTTTTTATCTGAAAATAAAATAAAAGTTTGTTTGTTAAATAAGTTATCAAAACTTTATTTTGGAAGTATTTTACAAAATGTTTTAGGTAGTAAAAAAAACAATCTACTTACTTTCAGTTTCAGTATTGTTTATGTTATTGCATATATCCACCATTTTTTTGCCTCTGCTCAAAGAAGCCATCTTGTCTGCTCTTAACCACGAAAAATAATAATACAACAATTCACTGGAAACACTATTACCTACTTAAAATTTAGGTGAGAAAAAAATCAAACTAAATAAGTAGAGCTCATATGCCTAAGAGTGACAAGACAAGACTGATAATAATAAAAGCTTAGACTGCTAACATAAAAAAAGTCTCAATAGTACAAGTCAGCGGTCTGCTATCTAACCAACAGTGAAAAACATGGGTCCTAACAGTATAACTTGACTTATACTCCTTATACAAACCAGATAATATGGAACTTGACATATACTGAAAGGTTCAATGCTAAACCGTTAGTAAAAAATACTCAGCATTGACTTGTACTCTTGGGGCCTATATTTAGATGATAAACATGAACTATAGTAAAAAAACGCGAAATCAAGAAAATCTGACTTGTACTCTTTGTACTTATTTCGATAGATATATAAGGTATTTCATAATAAACTACGGTAAACTAGGGGAGATCTGAAATAATTAATAATGAAAAAACTAAATATATTTTAAATTCAATAATAATAACAATAATAAATTCAATATTCTTTTTGTTTGATTGTGCCAAGCCTTTCAGTGGTGGTAGCTGTGCAAAAACTTTGGTAACCTTCCTCTCCATACCATCAATTTTTTTACCAATCTTATTTTTTTATGCTTCCAATCTATTTTATTGAATATTGCTTCAATTAATCTTTCATCTGACGCATTAAAAAGAGGTAAAGGGCCAAATAGTTTTGTATAGTCAGGCATACACTCTTTATTTTGACCCAAATATTTTTACACAGACCGGCTGGCAAGTAGTAGTAAAGGAACACTAGCTAACAAAATTTAAAAATGTACATTCTTGTACCGTGAAACGATTAATAGTCATTATCTAATGTTTTTTCTAGAAAGTGATTAAACATTATGTCGCTGACTCTAAATAAAAATATCATCAAACTACTATCACCACGTACCATAGATCCTTGCAAGAATCTTGTGAGGTCCTTATCAGTATGCATTGGATAGAAATAGTTAACAATGGTACCATTAGCAATAAATTAACCACCCTCGCTGGAGTTATTTGCTGGAACATCACGTTATGTTATGAAAAATCTTTCCTGTACCTATTTGATATTCAATACGGTGACTCTTTTTGTTTATTCTTTGATTCCTCATGAGTTATTCATCGTGGCGAAGTACCTCTACTGTAATTTGTAACGATTATTTCTATTAGTTGGCTTCTGGAATTGTGTATGCTCTACACTGGTGAATGGTAATGTTTCATTTTTATTATCCAATATGTATCTAACAAAAAATTATAATATTTATATGTATACATGTTTTACTTTATTTCTATCTGCTATTAAATGATTCAAATTGGATTTATTTTTTCAAAATTTGTTTCAAATCTATTTTTTGTGAGTTTTGATTAATCATTCTAGTAATCACATCTACATAATACTTTTTTTTTGTTAGTTTGCATTGCACCTAGCTATATTACAGCCAACCAGTAATTATTTATTATAATCTTAAGAGGCTTGAAACTAAAAAACCATCCAATGTTATTTCTCCTTTCTGTTACTTTTACTATTGTCCTTAATATTTTTTTTGTTTGGAAACGTATTACATTTGTGATAATTTTACGCTGTTGCTAGGTACACGCTAAAGTGTACACAAATCAAAAAATTAAATACACGCGAAACGTCATATTGCTGTGGTGGGAGGTGTTTGTGTGAATGCGTGTTGTTTGTTTTCATTTATGCCGTGACTAGCAGCTAGCAGTAGTATTTTATAAACCTTAGAAGCAAATTTCACATACATGAACAAATAATAATAATAATGTCGTGACAACAAGAAAATGAAGCAACGAATTCTCGTAGAAAATTTCAATCCATACCTGGCTACGCCGACCGGCATGGACACAGCTCACCTACTCTGTCAAGACGTTTCGCGTGTATATAACTTTTTGAATTGCGTACAAGTTAGCGTGTACCTAGACACTGTGATAGTTTTACTGCACATCCGCAGAGTTATATGAAGTAAGTCTATACTGGCTTCAGTACTTTGTTACGGTTCAAAATCCATATGAATGTACTGGGATGCTTTTACCACAAAAATAATATATATATATATATATAGTATTGACATTTAACTTTTAATTTACTCTAATTTATTATTTAAGTATAATAGGACTAAAATCTATTAAAAGCTCACTCCGTATACACCGTTTTGGCTAGAAGATTATTAGGAGATCCATTTCTCATGTTCTGTGAGTTAACTAGAATGAAAAGATACCTTTTATATTGTCAAATTGGAAATTGTAGAAGTTTAACCTTTTATCAAGTGTTTCTTTCTTGTTTTGAATATCCGTTCTGGTCCTCTGTAGATATATTTTCCATTGTTTTTCTTAATTAGTTTGTAGTTAAATTCTAGGAGCCTAAAAGGGACAAAGAAACGTTTTGAATTCTATAAATGGTTTCAGGGTTCATTTTCTTTGTTTATTTACATTAATTATGACATTATGTCATTCAAATTTATTCAGGTAATTGTCTAATTCATTACAAATAATTAAAACCCCAAATAATCTAGGTAATTTTGGAATTAAGTAGGTGATTGTGAGAAATTGGCTAATAATATTTTAAATTACCTGTCATATTTTATTTTCACTTCCTGTAGATTTTTCATTCTTCTTCTAGTGTCCCTTCATGGAACATGTGTTTTTGAAGATCTTTTTATAAGGATATAAGATACTAGAAGCGAAAAGACATTGAAAATTTAATAAGTATTGCTATTTGTTAGTATACTTAATCTCATTAGAGGATTTTATTTTCAATTTAGCAAAAAGAACTTCTTAAAAAGGCCACCTTTCACCTCAGGTAACGTAATTTCTCATTTATCACTTATTTGTCTTTGCTTAATATAGGATTGTATATTTAAAGTAGTATTTTGTATTTTAGGCCTTCTATTCCATTCTATACTATTCTGTTTCCTTTTCTGGCTATCGTAGTCACAGATAGTTACATTTCATTTTTATTACGTGCAATTCCGGACATAACATTAATCTGAGGTAGTCTCAACGGCAGCTGTATTTGAGAACCTTACTGTTGGATAGAAGTAAACGATTGGGACACCATTTTCATCCCTTACTAACTGGAGTTACTACAAATGAAGGACGATATTTTAATTAGAGATTAAATAAGTGGACCTACTCGTACCTTTGGATCCAATCTTGTCAAGTAACCCTTCCAAAGAGGTCTTCGAATTCAACCCTCGCCTATGTAAGATAGTGACAATCTCCAAGGTAGGAATTTTCTGATTATACCAACTCAAGTCCATCAGTTAGAAGGTGTTATCACACGAAATATCTCCACTCTCAGTGTTTGGGAATATTCTGAAAATTGTACATATAATTAACCAATTTTAATCTTTTAGATTGTAAATATTAAAATCATTTATTTTGTGAGCCACCCAAGATAGATATCTATTTTAACCGGTACGTAAGCTGTATATATATTAAATTCAAAGGACTTACCTATTACAACCAAAGTATAGCTAGATATTGAATAAAACATCAAAATTCTCCTCTCATAGCTAATAAACACGTTTTATTTATATATCATAACCTTTAAAAAATTATTCAGTATTCTTCTTTTTCATTTGCGGTGTACATAAAATTTATCCAGGTAATAATCGATTCTATCTCGGTACAATCGGTCAATCAGCCAAATTCGAGGACAAAAGGGAAAAATTCACCTACGACCCTCTCTGACTGAGCAGGGTTAATTAATAATTCCCCATCAATTTTGTTTTGCTCAGAAAGTCATAGCAACTTGTTTATACATTAAAAGTTTATTTTAGATTAAAAGTCTTGATTTTCTATTCATCAACAGTATAATTTTCTATATTTAATATCCAAATCTTCCCGTTTCTTCTTTCCACTTTAATTTTATATTTAGGTTCAGGCCTAAGTATTTCGCCGAATTAGAACATGGTATTCTAGTAATATTTAATCACAGATCTTTTTTTAGTTTCGTTGAGCTTGATGCGCCATCTTTTTGTGCACTCGTAGATTTTATTAGTTGCATGTTGAAGTTTTCTGGTCGATTGTTCTATGGTTTTACCGATGGCAAGTATGGCTGTGCCATCGGCAAATGTAGCTACGTTCACATTTTGCGACTATTGAAACCATGTGTCTTGATAACCCAACTAATAGAGGCGAGGATGGCTTTAGTCTGAAGGTTCCAGATTCAAATCCTGGTTCATATATTCATTTTTTTTAGCTTCTCAGCTTTTCATTTTTTTTTTCAGCTTTGTTTTCACTTTGGAGATATAAGGGTGTATTTTTTTATAATTCTTAGTGGGGAATTAGGGATTATATATTTTCATATATCCAAAATCGCATTTCAGTTTCTTAGATCTTAACCAATTCACTACACTTTTCTTTCTCACGATTAAAAGTACCTAAACTAAAGGGTTCTATAGAGACATCTTTTGAGCACGTTAGCAAATAGTTTTTATAAACTTATCTAATTTTGGATGACATTAAAAAAATCCAATGGTTATTTTGTCTTACAGATAAATAGTTATTGCCAATAACATAGTATAGTGCTTAAAGAAGAAGGAACGGTATTCATTTCATACGAGTATAATTTTTGAAACATGAGCCGTGAGCGAATTCTGTACTCATACAATTAAAATGCATACTTTCTGAAATTAGTCACCTATGGTTAGTGAACAGTTTAATTAGTTTTTAAACGACCTACTGTTAGTGAGCTATTTACTTGCGGTTAGTGATTTTAGTTTCAGAGGGTTTTAACTAAACTTACTGCAAAAGTTTTTTCTGTGGTAATTTTATTGATACATTTATAGCTATTGAAGGATGTTTCTACAATAGAAATATTTTCTTTGACGTAGGTAAATATATTTTCCTACTGTGACTATAACCTACAAACCTTTGAAATTATTTGTCTCCAAACCATAATGAATGCAATATATTTGGATAGTA